CATGAGATAGGAGGGACTACTGCAGGTACGGTGGCCTGAGCAGAAGTCAAGTCTGGGTTCTAAAAGTTTCCCTCTTTGTACAGTGTCTGATCTACTTGGGTTGACACTAATGATAGGAACACAGTCACACACCACACTGGGAGCTGCTTAAGAAATTCTTTTTCAGACCTGACATCAATTGCCCCACAGAAAACCAGGATGTTTTGCCTTCTACAAAGTAAATTCAGAACAAAAGAAATGTTAAGCCAAGTTGGATTTATTAAAATATAGAAAACTGCTGAAGAAGAAAGAATAGAACACACGAGATATGAAATGGTCTTCTCAAGGTAGACTCACACTTTCTTTGCAGTGAGCATACATTGGATCTTAATGGCTTGGAAGTTACACCTTTGAAGGTTTCTAGGAAATACCACCCTCAAACATACACACTTCTAATATTGCCCAAAGAGTGTACTTTGTAGTGCTGGAGAGATAGCTCAGTGATTAAGAATGTTTGCTGCTCTTCCTTAGGACCCTTGTTTGGTTTGCACATGTGTGGCCCACAACAGCCTATAACTCCAGCTCCAGGCTATCTGACTCCTTCTTTTGGTCTCTGCACACACACACACACACACACACACACACACTCACAAATACGCACAAATACAAAAAGGATTTCAAAATACCTTAAGAATGTTATTTGCATTAAGATTAAATTTTTAAGGCTTTTTCTGATCACATGAAGATCTGAGGTGACTTTATGAGGATTATCCTCTAGGACAGGAGAAAAGAGTACTAGAAAGCGAAGGTTGTATATTATGTTAGACCAGCAGTTCTCATTCTTCCTAATTCTGTGACCCTTCCTCATGTTGTGGTGGCCCTCAACCATAAAATTCTTTCATTGTTACTTTGTGCTATAATTTTGCTACTGTTATGAATGATACTGAAAACATCTAATATGCAGAAGTTCTGATATGTGATCCTATTGAAAGTGTCACTCAATCTTTAAGGATTTATGACCACAGGTTGAGAATCTCTGTTATAGCTACGAGTAAACATAAACTAATTTCTTCTGTTTTTTGTTATATTTGGTTGGGATGTCTTCAGGAAGATATTACCTAGCCCTAAGTGATGACAGTCCATTTTTTCCTTAGATAAGATGTCTTTTTGAATAACAGAGTGTGTCAGTGGGCCTTTAGGTCCTTTTCATTAAGGTGTGAGTTCTGACCTTTTCATCAGTTACAACAGGAGATCAGATCTCTAGAGCATAGCATCTTTCATCCCCAAGCCTGCCTTTTCTCATGTCACCACAATTCAGTATCTTCCTATCCTGCCTCAGGCTGTCCAACAGAGAAATGCCTACCATCCACATGCCCTACCTAGCACTCTAGAATTGTCTCAAAATTTTTCTCTGTCTTGATTTACTAGTTTCCCTCTAAAAAGTCTAAATCTTGGGTAATGTTTCTCCTTGGGCTTCTTGATATAGTAGATGGACAATTTCACCAGTTGTTTCAAAGAGTCCAGTAATGATCTTTCCAGATACATGAATTTCTTACCTTGCATTGGAGTTGCATCTCAATAAACCAAGTGTGGCTTGACCATACATATGTACTTGTAATTTTTATTACACTTACTCTATTTGTGTGTGTGTGGGGGGGCTTATACATAAGGATGTACATATGCCTAAGAGTATCTGTGGTGTCACAGGCCTGCTTAGATTTAATTTTCTCTTTTCATTGTGTACTCACATCTGAATCCTAAGACCATGCAAGAGTGGGTTCCTTCCTTCCTTCCTTCCTTCTTTCCTTCCTTCCTTCCTTCCTTCCTTCTCTCCTTCTTTCTTTCCTTCTTCCTTCCTTCATGTGTGTGATACTAGAACAGAACCAGAGATGCCTGCTTGCTAAACATTCTTTCATCTGAGCCACATCCATAGTCCCTTGTGTCATTTACTTAGATATATAAGGATATTTCATTGTTTTTATTTTCATATTAGTGATGAATAATGTTTAACATCTTTTCATAAGTTTGAATGCATGTTGTGCATGGGTATATATGGGGACCAGAAGACAACCTCAGGTGTCATTCTGAAGGAGCCAGTTCATTTTACTTTTCACATAGACTGTGTTGTTTTAGTAAGATTTGTTGAAAGGACATTCCTTCATATACAGCCCCACTCTATACAGATGAGTCTATTTGCTTTGGATTGTAGTAGATGTGCTAGATGGATATAGGTTAAGATTTTCATGTTTTCTGGTTACGCTTAACTCCTGAGCTGCAACTCATCACCATTGTAAACCACCATATGAGTGCTGGAATATAAACACGGGTTTTATGGAAGAACAGGCGGCAGTACTTCTAACCACAGACACATCTGATCTGGTGAGGGTTCGCCTTTCTGTGTTTTTGTCTTAGAGTTAAAATATTTGGACATCATAATTATATTAAGCCTTCCTTTGGATGGTTTTTCCATATCTGATTGTTTTGTTTTTGCAGTACTAAAGACTGAATCTAGTGCAGTGCACACACTACACAAGCACTCTACCACTGATCCATAAACCAGTCCTCTTTTCCTGTTTGTTTTGTTATTAGATACTTCAAGGATAATATCTTATTTATTTATTTACTTTTTTACTTATGTATATGAGAGTTTCGTCAGTGCACCATATGCATGTGTGGTTCTAAGGAAGACAAGAAGAAGGCATCAAATGTCCTTGTAGTGGAGTTACAGGTGGCCGTGGGCCATCTGATATGTATGCTGTTACCTGAACTTAGGTCCTTTGCATGATCAGCAGGTACGCTTAACCCCTGAGCTGCAACTCATCACCATTGTAAACCACCATATGAGTGCTGGAATATAAACACGGGTTTTATGGAAGAACAGGCAGTACTTCTAACCACAGACACATCTCTACAGCCCCACATTTTTTTTTTGAGATAGGGTTTCAGAAAGTCACCTGAGCTTGTCTTGATTTCACTGTTTGTAAGCAGACCATGAAGTTGTCATCCTCCTGCCTTTTCCTCCAAAGTAGCTGCTATTCTTGGCTCATGTCACTGGATTCAGCTACCTGTTTATATTTACAGTGGTTTTGTGGCAGATATATCATGTACTACAATACTGTTATCATAATAACATTTTAATACTGTTCTGTATTATCATTCCACCAAGTATTACCAGAGTTGGTGGTGCTAGTAATTATTTTAGCATTTATTCATGTTTACATGTGTACCTGAGTGTATGTAGGTACACAGGATGCATGCCCTAACTGCAGAGTCCATAGAAGAGTATCAAATATTGTAGATCTAAAGTTACAGACAGTCGTGTGTCCCCCAGTATGGATACTGCAAACTGAAGCTAGGTCTTCAGCAAGAGCACGAAATGCCTTTAAATGCTGAGCCATCATTCCAACCCCATCAGTAATTCTTTAGAGTAATAAATCTCGTTTTGTTGTTTTCCTGGTGTTGTTGCAGTGGCTCTCAACCTGTGAGTGATGACCCTTTTGCAGGGTTGAACCACTGTTTCAAAGGGGTCACCTAAGACCATATGAAAACAGATATTTACATCACTATTCATAAAGTAGCAAAATTGCAGTTATGAAGAAGCAGTGAAAGTAACTTTATGATTGGAGGTCACCAAAATATGAGAAACTGTATTAAAGGGTTGTAGCAATAAGAATGTTGAGAACCACTATGTTATTGTTTTGATGAGCCTTTTAATGATATGATAGCTCATAGGATCCGTATGGAAAAAGTCCATGCCATTATTTATCAGTGAAAATGAACAGTGCAATATGTGATAAGTAATTGACCACATGTGTGAAGATGAGGAGTGGGGTTTTCTTCTGGAAGTCAGATATTGACAGCAAGGATCTTCCTCAATTACTCTTGATTTCTCAGTAAACATGGAGCTCAAGGAATTTGGGTAGAAAAGTAGGCCAGTAGGCTGTGACATCACACCATGAAACTTTTTATTTCTTTACACACATTAGATCCTAAAAGCAGTTTCCCCTCTTCCATGCATCCAAGTCCCCCTCATACATACCTTCCCCCTCTCTTATATACATTCCTCCTTTGTTCACCTTCAGCAAAAGAGCACATCTTTGAGGAATAACAGTGGAATACAGCATAACAAAGTGCCATAAGACTAGGCACAAATCCTCATAAAGGCTGGATGAGGCAACCCAATAGGAGGAAAAGGGTTATGTGCAGGCAAAAGAGTCAGAGACAACTCCCACTATGAGAGGTCCCACAAAAACACCAAGCTATTACAACCATAACATATATTCAGAGGACCTAGTGCAGACCCATGCAGGCTCCATGATTGTCTTTTCAGCCTCTGTGAACCCCTGTGATCCCAGCTTAATTGATTCTGTGGGTTGTGTTATTATGGTGTCCTCCATCCCTTTTGTTTTCAAAATTCTTCTTGTGCCTCTTCGTTGAGATTAATCAGGCTTCATCTACTGTTTGGCTATGGTCTCTCTACCTGATTCTCTCAGTTGATGCACTGATGATTATTGAGACAGACACTATGAGTATAGCTGAAAAATCATTAGAAATCATTTCATTGACTTTTTTGGACAACCGTGGTTGGTTCTACCATGTGTTACTGGGCTGACCAGCCAGTGATTGGTTCCTGGCCATCTATGTAGTGGCAGGTGTTGCCTTATTCACATGTTATGGGCCTCAAGTTGGATAAGTCAATTGTTGGCCACTCTCACAAATTCTGAATTACGATTACTCCGGCATATCTTACAAACAAGATATATAGTAGGTTGAAGGGTTTGTGGCTGCAAACCCTGCTTCTTACATGTATGCTGAGGACTCTGCTTATGTCCCTACACTCATGCCCAAACACTTTATGAACTCAACCATTCCCTAGCCATTTGACACCTTTTAATTTTAATGAATTAATCAATTAATTTTGTAACTCAACTGCTTACCCGATTTTTCCCACAGATCCTGTCTATTTTTTAATCCTGGTACTCACTTTTCTGAAGACTAGTGTATATCTTCGTTAAGACAAAATGGCATCTTTTTTTTCTGATTTTGCCCTTATATGGTTCTTGGAAGAGCTAAGCAAGAACGAATTAATAATGTTTAAGGAGTTTCTCAAACAGGAGATTTTGCAAATGGGGCTGACACAAGTTTCTTGGACAAATTTGAAGAACGCATCTCGGGAAGAGCTTGCCAACTTTCTGTTGAACCATTATGAAGAGAAGCAAGCATGGGATGTGACCTTCAAAATTTTCTACAAGCTCAATAGGAAGGATCTCATAAGGAGATCCAAAAGCGAGATTCATGGTAAGTTGGTGAAAGCTTCTTTACAGTGAATGAGGATCATGTCATAATTTTGATACTGTTCTTCCTGCCCATCTACGTATGCCCAACAGGTATCCTAGGATTTTCTTCTCCTTGAAGGAGACATCTTCTTGTATACATATGAGGTCTAGTGTGTAGGGGTCAAATGTATGTGTGGTAGATGCTCTAACCTAGGTGATTAAACTTCTACTCGGGATATTAGTAATGTTCCCTCTAATCTAAACTGGAGACTTAATACACAGCGAAATGGTAGCAATATGGATTTAGGCCAGCAGCAACAAAAAAACTCCTCCAATAGATCATATTTGTGAAGTCTAGGAAGGTGGCTGAATCTGTAAGGTACTTACTATATAAATACGATAATCTGACTTTATATCTCAGCAACCACATAAAAGTCAGGCATGGTAGCTACTTGGCCAGTAAACTTGGCACTGTCTAACTCAGCTAAAAATGTCTCAAAAATGAGATGGAGGGTCTGGAGAGATAACTTAGTGGTTAAGAACACCTGCCCTTACAGAGGACCTCAGCTCTGTTTCCAGATCCTACATGGTGCTTCACAACAATCTGTAACTCCAGTTTTAGGGAATCTAATGGCATCTTCTCTCCTCTGGGGTCACTGTATACATCAGGTACATGTGCATACATGCAGACAAAAGCACCCATTCATCCAAATTAGAAACAATTCTATTTTTTAAAGCAGAGAAGAACTGAAAAAGACACTCAATGTCAACCTCTCTTCTCCACATGCATGTGTATTTCATCCCCCCTCCACCTCTTCCCATCCCCCTCCTACATACATATCATATGTGCATTTGAAACATCTAGGTAATATAGTGTGGAACATGATTTCTTAGTCTTTGTTGTGGCTGTGGCCGGTTTGATCTTTACCAAGCACTAGCTTATAAAAGAAAAGCCATGTTTCATAAACACTATAATTTTAAGAGTCACATTTATATTTGTGCTGGTATAAGTTATGATGGATACTTAAAGATCTAATTCATTTCTTTGTCTTTGATATTCCAGTGTCTTACTATAAAAAGCCTAGACGGATTTTTTTCTAAGTTCATTCTGCTTGGGATTCATTGATAATCTTAGATCTGTGGCTGTAAAATATTATATACTCCAGCCTTTATTTGTTTAAAAGTTGTCTCTGTGCTGTTCTTCCTTCCCCCATTTTAAAATTCACTTTATATCCTAATATCAGCTCCCATCCTCCCAATATCTCCTCACATAAATCCTCCCCCACTTTCCCATCCCCCTTTTATCTGAGAAGAATAGAACCCCTAGGTTTCACCACCCTCCATGCTGGTTCATTAAGTCACTGAATATTTACAAGCATCATCTTTCACTGAGGCCAGACAAGGAAGAATCATTAGAGGATCCACAGGCAGGCAACAGATTCAGCAATACTCTCTATTCCAGTTGTTGTGGGACCCACATGGAGGCCAAGCTGCCCATATGCTACATATGTGTTGGGAGCAGGGGAGCTAGGTCCAGCCCATGCTCACTCTTTGTTTGGTGGTTCAGTCTTTGGTACCCCGAAAGGGTCCAGATTAGTTGACACTGTTAGTCTTCCTGTGGAGTCCCTGTTCTCTTCAGGTCCCTCAATCCTTCCCACAACTCTTCTGCAAGGCTCCCTAAGCTCCATTTAATGTTTGGTTGGGGGGTGGTCGGTCTCTGCATCTTTTCATTGGTTGTTGGGTGGAACCTCTCAGAGGACTGTTATGCTAGGCTCCTTTCTGAAAACATAACAGAGTATCCTTATTAGTGTTAGAGTTTGTTTTTTGCCCATGGGATGGGTCTCAATTTGGGGCAGTCATTCCTTGACAATTCCCACAGTCTCTGCTCTATCATTTTTCCTGAACATCTTGTAGGTAGGCAGGGCATATTTTGGGGTTGACAGTTTTATGGGTGTGTCGTCTTTATTCATCCACTAAGAGTCCTCCCTAGCTACAGAAAGTAGACTCTTCAGGATCCATATTCTCAACTGTCAGCAGCATCAGCTAGAGTCACCCTCATAGATACCCTGGGGTTTCCTCCTATTCCAGGCCTCTGGCATGTTTTAGAGATGAACCCCCACTGATTTCTGTTCTCTCTCATCTTCTCTCCATAAATCTGAAACCCCAACCTCATTCCTCTCCCCATTACCTCTCCCACCTAGTTCCCTCTCCATCCATTTCTGAAATCTATTTTATTTCCTTTTGTAAGAAATATTCAAACATCCTCCATTGGGACCTCCCTGTTGTTTGGCTTCTTTAGGTCTGTGGATTCCACTTTATAATCCTGTAGGTTATAAGTTATATCACTTATAAGTGAGTACATAACATGCATGTGATTTTTTTTAATTTGTTTAATTTTTTTTTCTCTGCTGTTCTTTCCCACCACCTTCTTGAGATCCACTTGCATATAAAAATATTTAATTTATGATTAAAATATGATTAAAATACATGTGATCAGTTAAAAACTATATTATGTGTATGTGAGAGTATATATATATATATATATATATATATATATATATATATATATGCGTGCTATGTGAGGCCAGACATGTATATCAGATCTGGACCTACAGGATGTGGATGCTACCATGTGGATGCTTGTAACTAAATCCAGCTCTTCTGGGTGCTTCTAACTACTGAGCCATCTCTTGAGCCCTACATGTTAGATCTTCATACAATGTCTTGTGTATATTACTTTTTATTTTTCCTCTGTTCTTTAGGCTGGCATTTGTTTCTAAACATCCTCATGTCCTTCATTCACTGTTCAGCTATTTCTCATCAATAAAATAATCCACTTGTTGGTTCTTTTGACTTTTCTTATATATATTATTTGTGTGTACACATATCCACTTGCACTCAATGGTGTACACGTGGAGATCAGAGACAACTTCTAAGAGTTAATTCTGCTATTGCTACTTGGGTCACCTGGAACAAGCTTAGGTCTTCAGGCTTGATGACAAATGTCCCTAAAACATCTTACCAACCTATCTGTTTATTCTTAATTTTAGTTAAGAAATTTTTGTGTATACAATTTGCCTTGCTTTTCCTCAGTTTTCCCTGATTGCCCAACCTGACTTTTATTTCTATTGAGTACCTTTTAAGAATTAAGTAGTATACTTGGCATGCAAAGTGTTTCAATGTAAATTTGTGTGTGTGTGTGTATGTGTGTGATTGTGCTTTTCTCACAGTATTCCCCAACTATGACTCTCCTTTCTCTCTTTCTCACTAGTACCCTCTGTCCCCTGTGATTGTATTCATTGTATTCTTTTTTCTTCCATGCCATATATATATATATGTTGTGAATATTGAAAAATATTGAAAAATTGTGAAAGTTGAAAAACATTTAAAGTAACTTTTCAAAAATTCCACATATGCAAGCATTGTGTAGGATTATGTGTGTGAGTGCAGTGGCTGTAGAGAATCTAGATACTCTGGAGGTATGTAATAGGCTATTGTGAGCCACCTGATGTGGTACTGGAAAGCATTCCCAAGACCTCTTCCAGATAAGCCAGTGCCCTTAACTACTGATCCATCTCTCTAGCCCCATTACTATATATTTTTAAAGTCGATATGACCATACCTGTTTTCATTATCATTTAGTCAATCTTATGTTGATAGTGATACCATTTTTTCAGTTTTGGGCTTTCATGCCAACCATGTATAACTACACTCTGTTAAGTGTGTATATCTGTGTATGTGGCAGGGGTGAATAGACACTGATATTTGAGTTTTGGGAGCCATGTAGTCTGCCACTCCTGGTTGGTGTTTTTGCTGTTTCAGTAGAACAGTTGCACACAGCACAGGATTCCATATGGTCCAGAATATTAGCTTTGAAAGCCATGCTTTTGGTTTTGAATGAATACATTCATTAACTACATTGCGAGTTAAAGTAAAATAATAAACAGCAAATGATCATGATAAATGACATGTGGGTAAATAGGTTGGAAAATTGGTCAATAGGTCAGAGAGAGAGAGAGAGAGAGAGAGAGAGAGAGAGAGAGAGAGAGAGAGGTCAATTTGGGCCCTTAAAACCTCCAATAGAAGTTGACTAGGGAAGCCAATTAATGAAAGTCATCTGGAGTTCCCATTACGAGCAGAGACTATCTTCTCAAGTGATATTCCCAATTGAAAACAAACAAACAAACAAACAAATAATGGTAAGAAGGTTACATCACCAAATAAGGCTCTCTTAACATCATCAAACTGTGGTCTCACAACATGCAGCAATAAAGAAATAAGAAAGTTGGAATGAGTTGGAGCTTCCAATGGAGCTGCCTCTCCATGGTTGAGGTTCCCATTGTTCTAGTACAGGCTTCTTTTTCCACGGCAGGCACTTTTATATCATGGGGTAAACAATTATAAAGTCTGCTTGAAATGGTTCATGATTTAGCTGATCTGAAGGGCATGATATTTTTACTCTTGAGCTCTTTTATTCTCTTCACTTCCTGTTCCAGATTTATGGGTCAGCCCATTTGCAGACAAGAACCCAAGAAGCATACTTAAACATGCTTGGGTCTGAAATGGGGAATAGGGACAACCCCACTTCAGGTTCCAGCTTCTTAAACAGCACATGACAGTTTAATGGTATAACATTCCTGACACATAGAAATGCAACTGTGCCCCAGGGCCAGTGAAAATTTTCTCACATTAAACTAGAGTTGTTCTGGGCCCACAGCTTACGAACTTCTAAAATCATACATCATAACGTGGGTGAAGAAATGATTTCAGTGGCTAGGAGTATGTTCCATTCCTGCATAGTACCAGAGTGCAACTCCCAGCACCTATGTGGGGCTACTCATGGACAGCTGTTAATCTAGCTGAGAGTTGGGGTGGTATTTAACACCTATGACTGCTACAGGTACCCACTAACAGACACATTACTAAAAATAAATATTTTAAATGATCCGTTCTGATAATTAAAATGTTATGGACATATATATGGATGAATATTTAACTTTGACATGTTGTGAAATTTTTCCCTTGTCCTCACTGACTCAGGACACCCAAAGTTATATCAAGCTCATTTGAAGACGAAACTGACCCAGGACAGTTCCATTGTATTCAACTTCAGTATTCAGGTCTTATTAAAGGAGGAATTCACCCAAGATATCCTTAGTAGTTTTGAGGACTTTTTCCTATCAAATACAACTGAGATGAAGCCACCCACGGTGGTCATAGAAGGTATGGCTAGAATTGGCAAGACGTTGATATTGAAAAAGTTAATGCTTGCCTGGTCAGAAGGCCTGTTGTTTCAAAACAAATTCTCCTACATCTTCTACTTCTGCTGTCGAGATGTGAAGCAGTTGCAGATAGCTAGCCTGGCTGACCTGATCTCCAGAGAGTGGCCCAGTGCCTCAGCTCCTGTAGCAGAGATCCTATGCCAACCGAAGAAACTCTTATTTATCATCGACAGCTTAGAAGTGATGGAATATGATATGTCCGAAGAACAAGAATCTAACCTGTGTGATAACTGCATGGAACAGCAGCCAGTGAGTATACTGATGAGCAGTTTGCTCAGGAGGAAGATGCTCCCTGAATCCTCTCTCCTCATCTGCACTACCCCAGAGACATTTGAGAGAATGGAGGTCATGATTGAGGAAACAAATGTGAAAACAATAACAGGATTCACGGAGAACAGTATTAAGTTGTGTTTTCACAGCGTTTTTGAAGATACGAACGGAGTTGAGGAGGCCTTCAGGTTGGTGAGAGAAAATGAGCAGCTGTTCACTGTATGTCGGGTCCCTATGCTCTGTGGCATGGTGGCTGCTTGTCTAAAAACTGTGATAATGGAGGAAAGAGATCCAGTCTTTGTCTGCCGACGTATCACCTACCTGTATACCACTCACATCTTCAATGTGTTCACTCCCCCAAATGTTCCATATCCAAGTAAGAAAAGCCAAGACCAGCTGAAGGCCTTATGTTCTCTAGCTGCTGAGGGCATGTGGACTGACACATTTGTGTTTGGTGAGGAAGCTCTGAGGAGAAATGGGATCATGGACTCTGACATCCCCAAACTGCTGGACATTGGAATGCTTGGAAAGATCAGGGAATCTGAAAATTCTTACATATTCCTTCACCCATCTGTCCAGGAGGTCTGTGCTGCCATCTTTTATCTGCTAAAGAGCCATGAGGACCACCCTTGTGAGGATGTGAAATGTATAGAGACACTCATCACTATGTTTCTTAAGAATGTCAAAACACAGTGGATCTTTTTAGGCAGTTTCATCTTTGGCCTTGCAAATGAATTTGAACAAGTAAGTCTAACGATATTTTTTGGCTACCAGTTGTGCTCGGAAATAAAGCGTCAGTTGTATCAGTGCCTGGAAACCATAAAGGACAACAGTGAGCTTCAAAAACAGATAGATGGTATGAAGTTGTTTTACTGTCTTTTTGAAATGGAGAATGAAGCCTTCTTAAGGCAGGCAATGAACTGCATGGAGCAGATTTACTTTGTGGCTAAAGATTATTCTGATATTATTGTTGCTGCTTACTGCTTAAAACACTGTTCTACCCTGAAGAAACTATCCTTTTCAACCCAAACTGTCCTGGAAGAAGAACAAGAACACAGCAATATGTGAGTCTATTCAATATCTTTTCTGTCCCATATTCAGAATCTGTCCCTGTGTATTGATGATTTATACAGACTTATTCAAACCTCAACCTTACTGGTTGTCCAATGGCTAATGGTCAGCCTAGAAATGACATAACAATGACAAACAACAAAAACAGCCTCAACAGGTTAGGGATATATATATATATATATATATATATATATATATATATATAT